CTCTCTCTCTCTCTCTCTATCTATCTATCTCCCCCCTCTTTCTCCCCCCTTTTCTCTCTCCCTCTCCCCCCCTCTCTCTCTCTTCCTCCTCCCTCCTCTCTCTTCTTCTCTCTTTCTCCCCCTCTTCTCTCTCACTTGCTGGAAAATACGGGACACCTGAAGTACCAGTAAAGGACCAAGAGGGGAAAATCCATTTTTGTAAAGGAAGGTCAGTCGAAACGATGGGTAGAGCATTTCAACAGTCTCATGAACAGACCATCACCGATTAACCCGCCAAACATCCTGCCAGTAAGAAATGAGTTACCAATCTGCTGTGACTGTGACGCTCCTTAAAAACAAGAGATTCTGGATGCCATTAAGAAGTTGAACACAGTTAAAGCGGCCGGTCCTGATCAGATTCCACCTGAGGCCCTAAAAACAGATGCCAATGTGACGGCAGACCTCCTTCTCCCACTGTTTAGCAGGATCGGGAATGAGAGCAAGTTCCCAAAGGATTGGAAAGAAGGACACCTCGTGAAACTTCCAATAAAGGGGGTCTCAGCAACTGCAGCAACTGCAGCAACTGCAGAGGGATCACTGTTCTCTCAATACCAAATAAGGTCTTCAACAGAATCATTCTGAAGAGAATCAAGTCTGCAACGGATCTAAGACTGCGGGATGAACAGGCTGGTTTCCAGAAAAATCGCTCAACCACCGACCAGATTGCCACGCTGAGGATTATTGTGGAACTCCCAGATGATCGTCAACTTCCTTGACCATGAGAAGGCCTTTGACAGTATAGACCGAGCAACACAACTATGGAAAATACTGAGACACCACGGAATCCCACAGAAGTTGGTAAACCTCATTAAGAGCATGTACGAAGGGAAAAGTTGCAGGGTTGTACATAATGGCCAGCTCACTGACAGCTTTGACATTAAGACCAGTGTGAGATTGGAATGTTTACTATCACCTTTCCTCTTCATATTGGCAGTCGACTGGCTGATGAAGTAAACGCCCAGAGGACGCAGAAAAGGTTTACAGTGGACACTATGGACACAGTTGGACGGTCTGGATTTGGCCGACGACTTGGTGCCTCTGTCACACACCCAGGAACAGATGCAATCAAAGACCAGTATTAAACAGCCTATCGGAGTCTGTTTGATTGAGGATCCACCCCGG